TCAATATAAAAACTAGTAATTTACCTAAAAAAATATATAATGGATTAAAATTAAATAATAGTAAAAGATATAGAGAAGAGTTTAAAGAAATTAAAAATAACAAACATATATTCTAGGCAAGTAAATGTCTAAAAAAAATGTATGGCAACTAAAAAAGAAAATAGGGCAACTAGAAAAGTAAACACACCTTATCACAACAGTATATGTGAAGATAAAAATATTTTAGAGATATGTCCCAATACGATACATGCTATAAAAGTTAGATAAAATGAATTCACAAACAAATATATAGTGACAGAAATTGTAGATATACCTACATGTACAAAAGTAATATAAAAATAAATAGCAAATTAATAACTTACTAAGAAAAATTATACTATTATAATACAAATCTGTCACGCCTGTCTCCCATTAGGGCAGACAGAAACAATGGAACGTCAAATGCTTCGATTCAAACAAACCTCTTTTGCTTCTTCCACATTTAACAATCTTTTCATATACGCTCGCCGGTTACGGGTATTTTTAATACAGGGGACAGTAATATAGCGGATATATTAATAAAAGTTATTTATGACTATATGGAAAATTATAAAAAAATTACATGGTTATTTAAAAATAGGTACGAGATGCGATATTATAAATATCAAGTTGATATATAATATTACATGTATATACTAGAAATATTATACTATACCAGAAATAATTTTCAATCTTGCGATATTTTCTTATATGGAGTGTAGAATTTTTGGAAGTATTTTAAGTTCAGTTAAATATGTATGTTTTTTTTTATACCACTGAGGTGGCAAACAAGCATACGGCCCACCTGATGGTAAGCGGTTACCGTAGCCTATGAACGCCTGCAATACCAGAGGTATTACGCGCGCGTTGCCGACCCTGAAGAAACCTCTTTACCCCCTTTTGAAGAACCCCATGCTGTAGTCTTTCGGGAAAACCTCGGCAGGGAGCTCATTCCAAAACCTGAGTGTTCGTGGGAGAAAGCATCTCTGAAACCGCGTTGTACGCGACCATTTAGGCTGTAAGGTATGAGGGTGAACTCCCTGTCGATGGCGAGCCGTACGATGATAGAAAGTGGCCGTGGGCATCATATTGAATAATTCCTCTGAGCACAATCCGTTGTATAAGCGGTAGAACACGCAGAGTGAGGCAAAATCTCTCCTAAGACTTAAGGGTTCGATACCGCTTGAAAGCATGGGATCATCGACAATTCTCATAGCTCGTCGTTGCACTGAGTCGAAGGGTTCAAGCTGGTATCTAGGTGCTCCCGCCCATAAGTGACAGCAATACTCCATATGGGGCCGGATTTGCGATTTGTAAAGCATTAATCGCTGATCCGGTGTGAAGTAATGCTTCGCTCTATTGAGCACACCGATGTATGTAGCTATTATTAGTTATATATATATATATATATATATATATATATATATATATTCTATGTGAATTTGTAGTAAGTTCAAATAATTTCATTACTTATAAACAAGTTTACAATTATCTCTAAAGTTAACAATTTTGTCCTTTACAATTATTATCCCTGACCTGATATTGTCTGACAATCAATAGAGTTCACTTCCATTTGAATAAATACATGTAATTCTCGTTGACATTTTGAAACCATATCCGTGTACCAGAATAAGGTATTTTTGTATCTAGAAAACTTGCTGTTAGACGCCATCAAAGAATTATATGTCACTAAATTTAAATTGGCTGTGTATAATTTATTCTCATTATGTTAAATTGATTTTAATTCGATCTTTGGATCGATTATAGATTTAGACAAATGTAATCAAATCAAAAAGTCGAATATTGAGGTCAACAATACCAGTCGAATCGAGACTCCAATTTAAAGTGAAACGCTTGCAAGATTCCGGCATTTCAGGGTCCCGGTATCTTGTTTATATTCCCTAAACTTAGTCTAGAATTAAGCTTCTTTCAACTTAAAAGTTATGTCAACTATTTTTAAATAAATCTATATTAATAAACTAGCGGCCGTCCCGGCGTCGCACGGGTGGACATTTTCAACATTTCCCTTCACTGCTCTGCTCCTATTGATCGTAGCGTGATAAAAAGTACACTATAACCTACCTAGGAGTATGAAGAATAATTGTACCAAGTTTCGTTAAAATCCGTCTAGTAGTTTTTGTTTCTATAACGAACGTACAGACAGACAGACAGACAAAAATTTTATTGATTGCATTTTTGGCATCAGTATCGATCACTAATCATCCCCTGATAGTTATTTTGGGAATATATTTCATGTACAGAATCGACCTCTCTACAGATTTATTATAAGTATAGATATAAATAATAAAAAAAATAAAATATACATCTAAAGTTTAATTAGTTAATATACAGAAATACAATTGAGGCTAAAAATAAATGTTTAAAATTTTGTTCATTTTTATCAGTACATTAATAAACAAAATTCTAAACATTAATTTTTAGCTTCTATATTAAATATGTTTATATACAGTCACTGCGGCAAATTAATTTTATTATAAAGTAGATAGGATGTACTATATCAATGTATTTTACTGATAGTACGTATAGATTCTTCTATTTATCTTCACTTAGAACTTATCTAATAAAAACAGTTAAGTATCTAGGTCACAGTGAGATCGGGATACATTAAACGTATTTATTACAAATGTAATTTTTGTATGTCCGTGTGTACATTAAAAACATTTGAGTACCTTTATTTATTTATTTATCAGCCAATAACTTAAACATTAAAACTTACAGCTACATACATAAGAAAAAAAAAAAAACGTGCAAATGTGTACTTATTATAGGCAGTTAACACTTTTATACTATAAAAGATGTATTTTTCACAAATTTTTAGAACAACTTTCTTATAAACTATATACATATGTATACACAATATGTTTGCTATTCACAGTATCACGATTTCCATATAAGTAGGTGCCAAAGATATGTAGCCATAGCCTAACAGTAGTACCTAGGGGGGAAGGGATTGTTAGTAAAGGGGAGGTTACTCCCCAATGCTATCAATATATCCTATCATGTCGACCTTCACGCAGTTCCCCCTGGAAACTATTGTAACTAATTTATTAGAGTTGAATTGACTTAAATCTCAATTCAACCTTATTTTTTACTAGTTGTTTCCCGCGCCTTTGCCCGCTTGTACAAATACATAAAGTATCCTATATACCCAATATAGATATAATCTATCGGTGTACCAAATATTTAAATCAGTTAAGTAGTTTTTGCGTGAAAGAGTAATAAACATCCATTGATCCTCATAAACTTTGGCAGTTATAATAGTATTAGAATGGCAGTCAAAAATATAAGATTTTTTACTACGGAAAAGCATGGACACGTAGAGCTGTCGTCTGGTAAACCACATCATAGGCATACAACGAAGACGGCTTAGAAACTATGGACATCAGAGGACGCTACTCTCACATAAATAGGTAGCATTGCCAGATTGGGTATTTTTTTTTTCGTTTAATTATGTATAAAAATTATAATTTGGATAAATTCAATATTTTTTTGTCTTTTGGGTAATAATTTGGATACTTATTAGTATATCATCAGCATCATCATATCAGTCATTAACTGTCTACTGCCGAATATACCGGCTCCCCCTAGGGGGGTTTTGCCAGTACTTGCCATACATGGCAGGCGGATTGGCAAGCGCAGTTAGTCTTAGAAAATGTTTTAAGACAGACACTGCTGCCCATCCCTTGTCCTCCCTTAGTCGCCTCTTACGACACCCACAGAAAAGTAAGAGGCAGCCTATTCTATGCCGGGACCACACAGGAAAAGTCCCATTGCTTGCAATATACCCTGACAGGTCGACCTCTACGTGGTTCTCCCTGGAAACCATCATACTAAATTCCAGGTGTATTCATCACAATGGACTAACTGACCTGCCTTTTCCTTCTCACCTGTCATCCCTTACCTATGCCCAGCCAGCGTATACCGTTAGCGCTGGCAAGGTAACCATTCCGTTAGGATCCATTAAAAAAACCCTTGCGGGTAAGAATAGTATTAGTGATAGTACCACAGAACACTGGTGTCAAGGTATGTATACGCTCAGCTACGGATACTAACGCACGTTCTGAAGACATATGAGCTAGATGACAAATCACGTTATCAAGCACATGTCAAATATAATTTCAGTTAAATATATATATATATATATATATATACATATATATATATATCTTTTTTTTTTTCTATACAACTTAGAATGGCAAACAAGCTGACGGCCCACCTGATGAAAAGTGGTAACCGTCGCCTATAAACATGAGCAGTACTATTGACCCAACAGAATATACTGTTTCGCCCATGATACCCCCCATGCGTTGCCATTCTATTTTATCATATCTCCTTTGTCTTCTTCTTCTTCTTGTATAACAACATCCAAATAAATTATGCTCCGCAAAAAAAGAAGAAAAGAAAACAAAAAACAGCCATTTTCTCTAATCCACAAAACATACAAACTAACAATGGTAATATTTCATGTAAATAAATGATGTATTTAATATTAATTTGGAACGAAAAATCGTGTCTACAAATAATATTTCTACAATCGGGGGTTTTTCCCCCAAAATAATAATTAATTCACAATTTTTTTTTAATATAGCACGACATGTGAATATACCATCCTGAGTGAACACAGAAATAATACGAGACTAACACGGTCGTAAACCCTACCAATGGCAAATGGAATAGAGTTATCAAAATCGATCCGGAATTAATCACATAATACCTATAACTAAAAATAATTATAGATAAATTGGGAACCTCCTCGTTTCCAAAACATTTATAACCAAATATTCCGGTACAATAAAAAATCCAAGTCTATTCAAACAGCGGGCATTATTTGTTGTTTTATATTTTTTCATGGATTATTCATTCTAGTGTTATCAGAAGGATGATATACATTATGGGTAAACAAGCCAAACTATATCCACTTGCCCTTCGACATCCAGTTTAATCGTGTATAGAAATGCAATTACATGCTATTATAATATGATAAAACCTAATTAAGACTATTAGTAACGAAATAAACATTATCAATATGCTGTCACATTGTTTGCGTATACAAATTGCTGGTATTAACAAACTTGCAGTATTCGAACTTCAGTCGCCGGTCGCGCTCGCGTCGCTCCACGCACTTACTAATAATGCCAACATATAAAGTGAAATAGAAAAATATATTAAAAGAATCTGAATCTAACAATTAATATTTTTTTTATTAACTATAAAGCGTGTTTAAAAGGAACTTGTGTTAATTAATAACAATGGCTAGTGTCCTGAAGGCTCTACAGGGTGTAACAACGGAGGCGACGGAGATGACGGAGACAGAAAATGCAGAATGCAGGATGCTTCAGGTCAATATGACCAACGTCTCCCATACACCAGCGGACATCGAGTTCACTGACATTAAATTGATAGTGTCAATGGGGCTGATGTCTAAGAGTAAGTATTTAAGGTTCAATTTTGATTGTTTACTATTTATAATTTAGGTAAAAAAAAATTAAGAATTACGAATAAACTGAATCATCACATTCCGTTTTAAGTAAATGGTTTACCGGTACCAGGTTAATTATATTTTTTTATTGTTAAAAGTATCGTAAGCGCAAATCATATTTTATTTTACTAATTACATTTTATTTTATTATATTTTACTCCAATTAATCCCGAAACTAGTAGAGTTTTCTCGATTTAATTTCATGTAAGTTGAACTGGTAACTATTACATTAAAATGTTTTTTTACATAACCTATTATACTTTTATAGGATTCATACCGATATTGTACTCCTAATGCAAATTAATATAACAATATAAAAATACAATAATCGATTAAATAGAATTTTTCTACTGTTTATAACGTATTATAGCAAAGTAACACTTATCTGTCAAATTTCATAAACAATAAAACATTTTTCAATATTTCTGATTGATTATTTAAAAAGTGCTCTGCTAGCGAACTAAGGTGTTAATCATGCAATAATATTCTAATTAAACTGGCATTAAAAATTTCAATCTTGATGGCAAAAAATTATTTGAAATATTCCGAATCAAAATGTAAAGTAGGTATGAAATTTTATATGGTAGATTTATACACAATATATTTTCAATATTCTACAATTTACGTTTTAGTTCGCTAGCAAAGCACTTTTTAAATAATCAGTCAGAAATATTGAAAACTGTTCAATTGTTTTCTTTTTTTTTTTAATAAACACATAATACAGACAATAATGCATCGTTGCCACGCTTCGATAAGCCAAAGTTATGAACGCTCTTAACAACGTTTGAAAAAATCTGAAAATAACGGGTTTTATAACGGTTTTTTTATGAGTTAACTTTTGAGTGTAAGTGTTAAGAAGAAGGAATTCACTGTAATCATATATAATAATTTTATTATTATTATTTAACTCTTTATTGATTATAGACAATGAATTAAACAATTCAACTTAATATGTAATATATATAATCTTTTTACATATATATAAATACACAAAAGGCGATCTTATCTCTAGGGCAATCTCTTACAGACAACCTTTGGTCAAAGGAGAAAAAATAGTACATAAAACCGGTGAAGTGCAAGTTGGACTCACACACCGAATTTTGTATATAAAACTTTTTACTACATTACATGTATATTTGCACGTAACCAAAAATATAAATCTATTTTTGATTGGACACATAATAAATAAGTAAGTGGGGAACACTGGACCGCATAATTATATTTATATACTATATAGTTATTTAATTTTTTCTAAAAATCATGCCAATTATTAACATCCTTATATCTTTCCTGTAATACTCTTTTCATATACTTTTATAAATCATAATTATTTTAAATGTTTTTGCTTCACAAACTTCGAATGTAAGAGACAGGTTGTAGTTTTTTTTTACATGATTCTCTAAAACTACGCGGTGTGAAAAGAAATAAAACTTTTTTTTTTTATTTATACTACTGGAGCTAGTAAGATTATATTATAATTTTCAATACCTATACTCTCATAGGATCATCATCATTTTCCTACCCTTATCCCAATTATTACTTGGGGTCGGTGTTTGTTATGTTATTGTGCTGTATTGTTATGTATGTTTTTTTTATTAAATATGTTTTTTTATCCATATTACAAAAATATTTGGCTTATAATTTTACGACCGGCCGCCTGCCTGACATCTCTTGAATCTCTGGAATGCTATGCTATTGAATCATCTAATAAAAGAATAAATTTTCATTACAATAAGAATGTTTTAAGAATGTTTAAAACCATGTCAAATTAATAGTAGCACTAATATTACGCTGTAGCAGATGTACAAACGCTCATACGAAGCCACATCATAAGGGTTTCTTCACATTGGTACGGAACCCTTAAAATAATCATTTTCAATATTTAAAAATTACCAGCGACGCAAAAAAATCTAGTAAACGTAGACGAAGAACGTACTGACATCTACCATCATTTCTCTACGACCAATGATTATTTAAAGAAGATACGTTATGAGTATACACTTTAAAAATAGATATTTTAACCGACTTAAAAAAAATAGAAGGTTATATGTTCGTCGGTATATTTTTTTTAAGATAAAAATTAAATGGTTACCCCGCCTACGCTAGCAACTAGTACCCTGTGAGTGAGGAATGATAGGTGAGAATGTAATTAGATCCATCGTGATAAATTCATCAAAAAATAACTATGGACAAAACATAATAATAGTTTTAGGGTGAACCGCGTAGACGTAAACCTGGTAGAGTGTATTGCTAGCAATAAGACTGTTAGAACCATTACCAACAATCCCTTTCACCCTATACACCTAAATAGATATTTCACCAAAGTGTCAATATTGTCAAATATAATAATTGAAAAAGGAGTCATTATAATTATAGATTGTGTCCCACAAAAAAAAAGCGACATCGATTGTGACCAAATTAGTTATTTTCATCTAAATACTAAATTACTAAACCAATTTTGGCATCATTTCTATAGGACCAATCTATAAGTATATCCTTTCAGATAAAAAAAAATCCTAATTGGTTTAGAACTGATAGAGTTATGAGTAACAAATATAAAAAAAAAATACAACAGAATTGAGAACCTTCTTCTTTTTGAAGTCTATTGAAAATAATATAAATAAATAAGACGGCTACATTTTTTTTATTTACGTCATAGTGTATGCAAATGTCCATAGTTCTTTTAATTATCACCATTCCCAGACTTGCATGAGTTTGGTACTTATATTTTGCAGATTTAATTGTCGATGCCTTTGTGATGTGTCTATTTTTGTGTCCTTGTTACATTACGAGCGATCCGGCTCAGCTTCGCGCGGGTAGATAGATAGATAGATACTCTTTATTGTTTCCTCCAAAAGATTACAATAGTAAACATATTATAGATACAAACAATTACAAGAAATAATCACAATGAGAAAACAATGGGCGACCTTATCGCTAAAAGCGTTCTCTTTCAGGCAACCATTAGGTGTAGAGGAGTAATTATAAACAGATTTTCGAAAGTAATATACAGCCTTAGAATATATATAGAGCATCGAGTCTCAACAATGGGTCAATTTTTTGTCAGCTAATTGTCAAATTAGCTGTCCTATTCGAGTTTCTACCACAAAGTAGTTGTGTTTGCATGGCTGTATTTCGATTAAAGTTAATTTGTTTCTTTATTACCTTATAGCGCCCTAACGGCTTAATCAGTCCCTATGAAATTTGGTATAATATACGTACTCGTACTATATTATGTAAATTATTTATATATATATGTATACCAATCACTAATTTTGGAATGGAGAAGGTAGGCTACTGTTTATCCCGATCAGTGAATATATCCCAGTCACGCGGAGGAATTCACACCAGTGAATTCCTTTTACCAAACACCTTTTACCAAAAAGCTAGTCAATAATAATTTAACCAAACTATAAAAAATAAAAATTTCAAAGGACAAAAAAAAAAGAGGTATTAATATTATAACCATGACTTTGGAGTGTATTGTCTCAAATGTTATAATCTGCAAATGTATTTACGTATAACAATGCAACTGTTTATCTCAATGCTATTTATAATACTGAATCGTGTGTTAACACATATTTTGCTACGCAAAAAAAAAAATAACTTTTTTAGTTCCGTAAAGAAAAACAGCAGTATCAATTGTCATAAAATTAATATGACATCAACAGGGAAATACCGAAACACGATTGTTTGCAAAAAAGAATCGGTTCAAAATTGGCGATGCAATCACATACCTACAATGACTACAAAAAATATAAACAAATATAGAACTTCTGGAAATCGCATAAAAATCGCATCGCATCAAGGTTGAACTCATATTTGTCGCATAAGAATGTTAATTTCATATTCCAAATCTCTCAAGTCTGCTAAAGGACAGATCGTCCAAATAGTCTAAGAACCCACCACTGATTTCTGCAGGCATAAAACTTTTTAATAAAACTTAATTTAAATAAAAGTTGAGCGAAAACATAATATAATGCCGTTGCACCCGTTGCATGCCCTTAGTTATCCAAAACCGCAACCTAGGGTTGAAGTAACTAGTTATTTTTTGCGGAGCAAAAAACTTTCAGACCCAAAATTTCGTGTTTTAATTTGTCTAGGAGAGAGATCGTTATCCATGTTTCTTTTTCTCTCTCTCTTTGTCTCTCTGTGGTTATGCGTGTGTTCATACATACGTGCGTGCGTGCGTATGCGCGCGTGTGAGTTCACGATTGTAATTGCCTTTTTTACGCAGCAAAATGTACGTATAAATTTCGTATTATTATATTATAATATTTTTACATCATAGAGGTGAATCGCAATTAAAAAATACCTTGAGTTCACGCGACAATATTCTTGTTAAATTGTTTCAGTTGACTTTGCTACTCTGAATACTGATAATTATGACTTAGAAGCCGCAGCTCACCTATGTAAATGTCTATGTCTATAGACTCTATTATTAATTTACAACAGCATAACGCAGCGGAAACCTGCTGGGCCTATAACTATTCGTTTAAAACATCAGATGCACATACTACTTCCAGATAATATATCAATATAAAATAACCGCCTGATTGTAAGCTCGATCTTCAAGAACACACTGTATAAACAACCAATTCGGTGCAATTGTTTTTGCGTGATGAACAAACACACAGACAGACAGTCAAAATTTATGAAAAATATTATTTTGACATCTATTGTTCTTATTAAGAGCCCCATATTATTTTTTCTTGAATACCTCTAATGTAAAGATATCGTATGATTACAATTATATTAGTTGCGTGAATAGGGATACCAGAATCTATATATTATGGATATATTACACATAATATATAAGTTTCGTAAATCTATATTTAAAAGGACGGGGTAAACAATTCATAATGATACTTATCTTCACCGTTTACATGATCGATATCTAAGATTAGACTTAAAATGTTTTCATTATCAGAATAATTAAAAGCGGCCG